AGAAATGTTACCTGACCTTTGGCAGCGGACGCACTGTCGTGCGAAGGTGTCTGCATCCTTGAAGAGTGAGGGCCAATAGAAGCCCGACTGTAGCACCTTCCGCGCCGTGCGGTTTCCTCCATGGTGACCTCCAATAGGTCACTCGTGGCATTGAGATAGAATGTCTCCCATCTCATGCTCCATGACGCAGCCGGATCACGCCATCTGCTCCGATCTTGAAGAGGTAAGGATCCTCCCAGAAGTAATGCTTCATGTCGTAGAAGAACTTGCGCTTTGCACGAGTGGCCATCCCCTTGGGTAGCTGCTTGCCCAGCAGATAATTGGCAAAGTCAGAATACCAAGGGGCCACGCTGTCCACCAATGTCATCACCAGCAATCGCTCACCTGGGAAGGAGTCATCGATCTCTTTCTCCCAACCGCGATAGATGATCTGCAGCAACATTCTCGGCTCCCTTCTTGTCGCGAATTTTGATATCAAATTCCCGTAGAAGCAGGATCCAGCGGATGAGCCTAGGCTTTGCATCAGCCTTGCTCGTCAGATAGCGAATTTCCGAGTGATTCGTGTAGACCACCACATGGGAGAGCACCAGATATGGTCGGAACTTATCAAATGCATACACCACTGCGAGTAGCTCCTTCTCAGTGGTGGTATAATTCTCATGTGCATCGTTCAAGGTCTTTGACGAGTAGTAGATGGGTCGGAAGTGCTTCTCGCGTCTCTAACCCAGAACTGCTCCGACTGCATAGTCACTCGCATCGCACATTAGCTCCAAAGGAAGAGACCAGTTAGGAGTCACCATGATGGGAGCATGGGTAAGCTTCTCCTTCAAAGGCTCAAATGCAGTTGTGCACTCAGGAGTGAACTGGAATGGTATATCCTTCTCGAGTAGCTTGGTCAGAGGCAGGGGAATCTTTGAGAAATCATTAATGAAGCGCCGGTAGAAGCCTCCATGATCCAGAAAGCTGCGAATTCCCTTCACAGAAATGGGAGGAGGTAGCTTACTGATAGTCTCAATCTTCGCGCGATCTACCTCAATCCCCTACTTGGAGGTCTTGTGCTTGAGCACAATCCCCTCATGAACCATAAAATGGCGCTTCTCCCAGCTGAGTGCCAGATTAGTCTCCTCGCACCTCTTCAGAACGAGTTCTAGGTTATGGAGACAATGAGTGAAGGAGTCTCCATAAACCGAGAAGTCATCCATGAAGACTTACATGATCTCTCCGACCAATCGGTCAAAGATCGCCAGCATGCATCTCTGGATCCCGAATGGAATCCTCCTGTAAGCAAAAGTATCGAAGGGGCAAGTGAATGTGGTCTTCGCCTGATCCTCTGGCGCGATAGGGATCTGGAAATAACTAGACATGCCATTGAGGAAGCAATAAAACTCATGGCCAGCCAACCTTTCCAGCATCAGATCACTAGATGGTAGGGGAAAATGGTCCTTCCTGGTGGCGTCTTTCAGGCGCCTGTAATCGATGCAGACTCTCTAGCCAGTCACAGTCCGCATCGGAATCAGCTCGTTCTTCTCATTCGGGACCACAATCATCCCGCCTTTCTTCGGGACCACCTGAGTGGGGCTGACCCATTTGCTATCAGATATAGCAAAAATGATCCCTACATCCATCAGCTTCACAATCTCTGCCCAGACCACCGCCTCCAAGTTAGGAGACAATCTCTGTTGTGGCTTTCTGATTGGCTTAACCTCATCCTCCATTAGAATTCTGTGGGAGCAGAAGGATGGGCTAATACCTCTGATATCTGTTATCTTCCACGCCATGGCCCGTGCATACTTCGGCAGCAGAGCCACCAGCTTGTTCTTCTGCTCGGGTGTCAGATCCGAGCTGATAATGACCGGGAGCTTATTCCCCTCCCGGAGAAATGCATGCTCCGAGAGAGAGGGGAGGGGCTTAAGCTCCCGCTCCGGTGGCTCCTCCAATGATGTGGCGATCCGGGGCGAGATAGGGATCGACATAAATGGTTTCTCTCTCCCCTCGATCGCAGCTCCGTATAGCTCCGCGAGCTGCTCCTCTAGCTGCAACTCCTACGATGCCTGTTCCCCTAGCAAAAGACAACGCTCAAGGAAATCGTCAGTACCCACACTCGTGATGGCGAGTGCGGTCTCAAAATCAGCAATAACATCGCAGTATTCTAGATCATCATGGAGCTGGGGGTGTTTCATATTATGAGAAACAGAGAAGGTGATTTGTTCAACCCCAGCCAGCAAAATTAATTTCCCATCATTCACATCAATAAGCGCCTTGGCAGTGGTGAGAAAAGGTCTACCCAGTATTAAAGAAACATCCACATCCTCATTTATATCAAGAATTACAATATAAAAAGGATATGAGAATGACCCTACTGCGACTATCAAGTCCTCTGCAATGCCCCTAGGATGCACAATGGATCTATTAGCAGCTTTCTAAACAGTTTATATGGTATGACATTTATGCTAGCGCCTAAATGCGCCGAGGACTTTCCTATATGCAAACTACCAATCATGCAAGGAATAGTGAAACTCCCTGGGTCTTTGCGCTTCTCAGGTAGCTTGTTCTGCAGGATGGCAGAACACTCCTCATTGAGCATCACCGTCGACAGCTCCCCAAGCTTCCTCTTGTTGGTGAGGAGATCCTTCATGAACTTATCATGCTTGGGCATCTTCGATAATGCCTCCACGAAGGGCATACTGATGTTTACCTGCTTCAGCATTGCCATGAACTTGGCAAACTCAGTCTCCAGCCAGTCTTTGTGCAACCAAGTAGGAAAGGGAAGTTGCGGGACAAGTTGGGATGCTGACGCCACCCCTCGTTGTAAGTTTTGCTGTAGGGGTCGAAACGCCTAGCATTGCCGATGAAGTCCACCTGCTCCTGGGGAGTAGTCGACTCTCTCATCGCCTGACAGTCCTCCACAGTGTGATGAGAGCTTTCACACCACTGCATTGCATCGCCTGTTGCTTTCCTGTACCTGAAATCATTCCAGAGCGATCGATGGCTGAAAGCAGTTTAGATACCACCTGCACCAAATCAGACGACTGGTGGCTAAAGCATGCACACCCCACCCTGGTGCTCATCTCGATCTCCTCGCAGTTCCCCAATCATATCCCTGCTCTGCCATCTCTTCAAAGAGTTGATTCAGCTGTGGCGGTGTCTTGGTGAGCATATTCTCGCTGTAAACCGAGTCAATCAGCTGTTTGTCTTCCGGGAAGAGGGCATGGTAGAAGGTGCCCACCTTGAAGGCGTCGGTAAAACCATGGTTGGGACACTTGAGGAAAAGACTGGTGTATCTCTCCCAAGCATCCCGAATGGTCTCATCTTCATCCTGGGCAAAGTGGGTGATTTGCTTCTGCAGGTCCGCCGTTTTCGACAGAGGATGATAGCGGGTGAGAAACTTGTCCGCGAGGTTGGCGAACGTGGTGATCGAGCCTAGAGGTCGAGGGTCTAGCCACTCCTTGGCTTGCCCCTCTAGAGTAAATGGGAAGTAACTCAGCTGGATGGCATCGGCTGGGACCCCATTTATCTTGATCCCATCGATGAGCTTGTGGAATCGCCTCAAGTGTGATCGGGGGAACTCCCCCTCCTTGCCACAGAATACCACCGAGCCGCGCAGCATGGTGATGACAGAGGTGCTCACCTCAAAGTTGTTTGCTGGCTTGAGGGTGCAGTTTGGGCGACCTCATGTCCGCGGCTCTGGCGGTCCAGTAATACCCCATGGTCTGCTCCTCGGGAATGACCACATCATTGTTCTGTGGTTCACCCATTTATTCCTCCTCGGTGATATGCAGCTGTGCTAGAGCCTCCTCCGCAGCCAGTTGCGCCGTTAAAGCCCGATTGAAGTTCCTACAAGTCCGTTCAAGCTCTTGGTCTAATGGTTGTAAATCTCCCGACTTGGTACGGGTCATGCACTACCTGCACGCAATCAGCAAAAGCAACCGGTGAAGGCACACAGGTGCAAGAGAGAAAATGCAGTAAAGAAAATGCTAAAGTAATAAACTTTCACGTTTCCACAATAACCTAGAAGTCCCCGGCAATGGCGCCAAAAACTTGTCACGCTAAAACTCAACACCAAACTTCAATCAAGTGTAATCGCAGTCCGGAAATGCAGACTAGTGGCAAGTTCTATTTGTCAACACGGGGTCTAGATCTACTACCTACTCGTTGCACTGTTTTTCCTTTCTTATTTTTTTTCTAATCGCTAATTAGTTCACTATATACTTCCTCTTATTAATTATTATACAAACAAATAAGTTCTACACCTATGAAATAGGGTTGACCCTCTCCCTCTCTGTCATTATCTTTAGAATCCAACACCAAATCAGCGTTGTAAATATTCGTATTTTCCCCATGTTTTTTACTTCTTCACAAATCCCATTTCCAACCGCCAGAATGAAAGGCGAACGTTATAATAGCAACTATAATGTCCTATAGAAAAAGCCTTTTATGTAACAAGTCGATTAACCTCTTAATTAGCCTTATCATGAGTAAATGCTCACATAGTTGGATTGTTAAATCCACAACATCTAATGACGTAAACACGATACCTAGCCAAATTCATCCTTTGAGAACCCCATCCCAAACCATTGATTCTCATGAAAAAGGAAAAATCTATGCATCTCAACTACATGCCAAAAATAGGCGCAATATTTTAGCGGTAAATTGAACTAACCGCAAGAGCCATCCAGCAAGGCAGGCACGCAGCCATCAACTGAAACAAAAAACAGCAAAAGGACAAAATGTTCGTAGGTAGTTAGTTACTTCCCACGTAAATTTCCGCCATTCGTTCTTCTCCAACAAACACCAACCCAAAAAGACATGTTGTTTCCCCTTCTGTTATGTAAAATTTTATATTTTGTTCCCTTCCTTGTCAAAGTTTGTTACTGTACAGTATTTCCCCCCCCCCCCCCCTAATAATCTATTTTTTCCTCTCCATGCTGAACATGCACCTCACAATATGCACATAAAAAGTAAAGAAAGCATTCAGGAAGAAAACCATTCAATATGAAATAGCGAATGATGTGGAGTTCTTCTCCTTTAGATTAAATACAAGAACACAAACTTTACCTTTCTTACCATCCCATTTGAAAAATCCATTCTTCTTTTTCTTTGTCTCCCATTTTGGCACCAGCCGGTCATCTTTGCCGGAGCTCTCTCTCCGTTCTCTCCTTCCACGTTCCTGAGAAGCAAAGGCATCAAAAATAGATCATTTAAAAAGCCTGAAGGCTTATAATAAGGGGCTAGGAAATTGGATAGCGGTGCCTGTCTCTTCCTTTCTGTTATCTCTAACAGGGAGGGCAAGGAGAAAAACTATCAGGGGCGGGAAGGGAGACCAAAAACCGGCGGATGACATGGTTCGGGCACTGGAGAAAGATCAAGAACAGGAACCTACGAATGTTCCGAGGGCTAAATCAACAACATTGAGAAGGATGCTTGAGATACCGGGGAGACAGATTACCAACATGTTTTTCGACCACGGGAATACCAACACCACTCCGACCACCACCAAAAACGATAACGATGGGTCCACCAACAATGTTGTTGATCAGGAGAAACAGCCACCACAACAACTTCAACACCAACAATCGGCGAAGAGCGCTCCTTCGAACATTCCCAAGAGCACTGTTGATCAGGAGGAACCACCACAGCCACATGCATCGCAACAACTACAACATCAACAATCGACGAAGATCACTCCTCCGAATCTTCCCAAAAGCAAAAGCAACAATGCAGGAGGGCTCCTCGAGACGGTGCAACCTGTGGAAGGGTCTCCTCCAGAACGTGAACCAAAACGTGCAGATTGTGGACCTCCTACTAAGACACCTATCCAAAAGGGTCCCTCTGGTAAAATGAGTTTGTCAAATGCGTTTAAATAAAATAAAAAAAGGGATTAGAATACTTACTCATTTGTGTAATGCGAACTGCAAAAAATTGGTGCAGATTTGGATTTGATGAAGGAAAAGTTCGGGAAGCTGTTGTTAGGCGAAGACATGTCTGGAGGTGGAAAGGGTGTTTCGTCAGCTTTGGCATTGTCAAATGCAATCACAAACCTTGCTGGTAAAGTCTTTAATTTCCAAGAGGCCAAAGGATTTACCTTTGCCAAGCTTATTTTCTGTGTCCAACATTTTTTAAGTATGCATCAAGCTGATTCTGCCTGTTTGAATTGTGACAGCATCTGTTTTTGGAGAACAGAGAAGATTAGAACCAATGAATGCAGATGCAAGAGGAAGGTGGATAAAGGAAATTGAATGGCTTCTCTCTGTAACTGATCATATTGTCGAGTTTGTCCCGTCACAGCAATCCAATAATGGTGTCAGCATGGAGGTAATTAATTAAGAAGTAGCTGAGAAAATTTTTCGATTAATTGGACTTGTTACCTTAAAAAATTGCTTCGTCCTCCTTTTTATAGATCATGGTGACGCGTCAAAGAAGTGATCTGTTGATGAATATCCCAGCTTTGCGGAAGCTTGATGCCATTCTTGTTGTGAGTATCTTAACAAAATATGACTATACACTAACTATTATAAGCGGCTATAAGTCTAAATATTTGCCAAATGAATTGGAACAAACAGGAACTATTAGATCAGTGTGGAAAACATAATGAATTCTGGTATGTATCAAAAACTGACAAGGAAGGAGGATCACAGAGAAAAGAGGACAAGTGGTGGATTCCCACAGCAAAAGTTCCAAAAGATGGGTTATCAGAACCAACAAGAAGATGGTTGCAATCGCAGAAGGATTCAGTAAACCAAGTTCTCAAGGCAGCAATGGCCATAAACGCTCAGGTTCTATCTGAAATGGATGTACCTGACAATTATATTGAATCCCTTCCCAAGGTATAAATGACGTCCAAGTACTTTTCCTTGTCGGACCAAAACTTACCATCCATAAAATTTTACCTTTTACCTTTCTTCGTCGTTGTTTCCTTGGAAATAGAATGGAAGATCAAGCCTTGGAGACTCGATATACAAATCCATCACTGATGAATACTTCGATCCCACTCAGTTCCTATCAACCATGGATCTAACAGACGAGCACAAGGTTCTGGAGCTGAAGAATAGGATTGAGGCCTCCATCGTGATATGGAAAAGGAAAATGATTCACAAAGATGGTAAGGCAGCATGGGGCTCGGCAGTGAGCATAGAGAAGAGAGAAATTTTTGAAGAGAGAGCAGAAACTATCTTACTCATCATCAAACAACACTTCCCTGGACTTCCACAATCTTCGCTCGATATGAGCAAGATTGAGAACAACAAGGTAAGCACCAAACAACAAATATCATTTCTGCATGATAGGATCCAACCAAACGAAAAGAGATTTGGCCCGATCCGAATCTGGAAAACCAAAAGTCAATTCTACATCAATTTTCACGGACTGTCTTTAGTAAAGAGAAATCGGACCAAATTGAATCAGCCGAAATTCTGGCTCCCGTATTTTTAATTACTTTCAATCTGATAGGATCCGGGAAGCTAGAAGGAACTTTTGATCTGATTTGGCCGTCATTTATCTTTATTTTCAATCTTATCTCTATTTAATAATCAAATTATTCAAGTTCACAGAAAGTAAAGAAACTAGCAAGCTGACCTTCCTCTGCATATGGATATCATTCAGGATGTGGGACAAGCTATTTTGGAGAGCTATTCAAGAATTATAGAGAGCTTGGCTTACACAGTCTTGTCAAGGATTGAAGATGTGCTTTATGCTGACTTACAAGCGCTCAATCCAACACCACCAGAAGGGAGTGAAAAGCCAGAGGAAGAAGCAGAGAGACCATCATCTGCTAAGACACCGTCATCAAGGACACTATCAGACTTCATGGGATGGAGTGTGGAAAAAGGAGAGAATGACCTGAAGAATACAGCAGAATCAGGAACCATGGATAGCTTGGAGCAAGACAAGATCAATGTGAAACCTATTGCAACTCCAAGGAAATTGTCGTATCTAGAGAGGCTTGAGAACCTAAGTGGAATGAGAAGTCCAACGGCTCGACACTGAAAAGTTCAGAATGGATCATACAAGAAGGAAAGGAAAGTAAATCCAAAACCTTACATTATCTGAGAGGTCCGTAGAACAAAAAGCAGGAAAAGAACTTAGTTAGCAGGGGAAGGGGACTCATCAAATGTAAATAGCAAAGACCAAATGCCATGAATAAAACAGGGATTTAGTTGTCCTCGCAACAACAGTAGGAATCCCCTGTTGACCTTCATAGTGTACTGGTCCGAAATATGAGACAAGAAATGGAATGTTGAACAAATGGAATGAAGAAGAAAATTATGTTCTTGATTGAATGATATTCAACATTTTTCTTTAAAATTCTTGTAGACGCTTTGGTTCTGGGATACATACAGCTGTTGCAGAAATGTTTTACAGTTCAAAAGATGCAAACAAACATAGGGAAAATCAAGCCAAACATGGCGCATAGAAAATAACAACAAGATCCAACTCTAAACAGATATACACAAACTCGTTCAGTTTATCTCAATAAGGGATGCAACACCGATGTGATTTCATCACAGTATTATCTTGAAGTTGCTAGCAGAAGCAAGCTAAACCTATGCACAGCTGGTGAAGAAAAGAGGACTAGCCAAGAGTAAAGATGTTGCGCTGACAGAAGACTATTTGATTACATGAAACTTGCCTTCATTAGCCCAAGATGTGCCCTTACAACACAACAGGAAAATACAACTAGCTATCTAGATGGAACTGGTGATAACAGCATGTATTGCGTCAGCAAGATGAGGAACTGTACGTGAACTGAGACCAGCCATGCTAATCCTCCTGTGGATTGACAAGGATAAAATTATATTGACAAGTTGCAAGGTATATACTAATCAAAGTGCAAGAACCACATACTTCAGACACTAAAGGAGTTGGCCACTCCATATTTTTTTATTATTGAATCTACCAATATTCTAAAAAAATTCAGTTTTCAGGCTACCTGCAACGTTGGAACACATTTCTACCAATACTGGAGGCTATCAAAAGAACTGGAACCAGGCACTAAGTTTGGAAACTGATGTAAAATCGTGTTCACTGGCAGGAGACATAGAGCTCTTTTCACCACAGGACAATGTTTAAAATAATGAAATTCCAAGGATAAGGGATGTCACCCATAAGATGTCATGTAAATGTGGTACTCTTTGGTCATAAAGGCAACTTGTTCAGAGTTGAGACCGGTGAAAGTAAACATTCCAATTTGCTTGATGATGTGACTCCAGTCACCTAGAGTACTTGGAAAATAAACAATAGAGGGTTGAGGATTGCTATTTGTTGACAATGCGAAATATTGTAGCACACAAAGATTATGGAAGACAACCAACATGAACTTAAGTTCTAGATATAGCCCCCGCAAATAGCTAGAGAGGCAAAAAATCAAAAAGACTGGACAAATGACATATATTTCATTCACAAATATCATTAGAAAGGTTTTCACATCAAAATAATAACCGAGTCAGTAGGATGCTCTCATAGAAAGAGACGTCTCTAGAGAAAAACACTTTCCTGTCATGTATGTCAAGAACTTTGTAGCCCTTGATCCCTGCAGGTATGCCTATAAAGACACACTGTCTAGCTCTTAGAGAAAATTTGGTTCTACCATGAGGTAGTGTGTTGGCATAACACAAGTACCCAAACACCTTCAAGTTCCCAAGAAATGGCACTTGCTTGTAAAGAATTTCATAGGGGGTTCTGTTTTCTAAGATAGGAGTAGGAATCCTATTGATTAGATAAATAACGTGAAGAATAAAATCACTCCAGTAAGTGAGAGGAAGACCTTATTGAAACTTCAAGCATCTGGCAACATTGAGAATGCACTGATGCTTTTTCTCAACCCTGCCATTCTATTTTGGAGTCTCAACACATGAAACTTGATGCTCAATTACTATTGTTTTGAAGAACTCACACATTTCAAACTCCTTCCCTTCATCATTTCTAATGATTTTCACAGTGGTATTGAACTGATTCTTCACCAGACTACAGAAACCCTGGATCATCCCTCTAACTTCACTTTTATGCCTCATTAAATATACCCACGCACTTCTTGAATGGTCATCCACAATGGTAAGAAAATATGAATAACCATCATACGAAACAGTAGACAATGGTCCCCAAATATGCATTAGATGAAAAATCTCAGGTGCAACACTGGTGCTAATGGGAAACGTGACTCGCTAAAACACAACTCCTTACAATGGCCAAGTGTAACCAATAAAAGGGACTGTAGTATAGTGACGCAAGTAATAAATACCGAATCCACGGGTCTCTAGAGTTACTATTACTCAGCTTCAGTTCATTATCTAGCAAACTAGATTAAGGATTGATTTACTAAACTACTCTACTAACTACTCTACTTATTACAGGTTGGGAACTCTCTTAGGTATGATTCCCCCTAGCTCCTCAATTAGGTCTAAGTTGTAATTCCTTTTGGTTATTTACTGTTGATTAAACTGCAAAAGATCCTAAATTAGCTTGGAATCTCTTAAGCTGACCAAGCCCTCTTAGACAGAATACCCAGTAGGCGACTAGCCTTCACCAGGATAGACCGCTAAGGCAATTCATACAGATCTCCACTACTAGGAACGAATTCCAGTACAAAGCAGTGAATTGGCTAACTCTCACACAACCAATTCCCAACTATCAAGCAAGGAAGCTCTCTTAACCTAATCAGATTCTATCTATCATAGGTTAAAGCAGAAATCAAGAGAATTTGATCAGGATTCAATTGACTCAATAATCATGCCTCAATCGATTATAATCACACAATATAGCATCCAAAACTTGATACAAGAAATATCGTAACACATGGAACTAGGGTTCCTCAAAACCTAAGTGAAGGGAAGTTACTCCATAGAGAAGAGAGAGACTACAGGAATCTGATCTAGATCTTCAATCTCCATCTCCAAGCTTGATTCCCGAGCTCCAATGGCAAAGAAATCCACCAAAATAGCTCCAAGAATGTTCTCAAGTCGCTCTATCTCTCTATGGTTCGTCCCTTGGGTGTTTGGGAACCAAAAACCCAGCTCCCCCTCTCTAAAATTCGCAGAAAATAGACTTATTCCCGAGCAGGGACAAAAACACGGCCGTGTTTAGTCCTGCTCGTGTTTTCGTCCCGCCCGTGTTTTAAATCCCTTCAGCAGTCTTCACAAGAGAGGCTCGGCATAAAAAACACTGGCAGGTGCCAGATGAAACACGTTCGTGTTTTGAGGGTAGTCTGCCCTTGTTTCTTCTGTCGAACATGTTCCCTGTATTCAATGATTTGTTTCACCCTCGTCCGGACTCCGAATCAGTCGCCATTTGATCCCAGACGCTCGTAGTCTCGTACTCTTTCCTTTCATGACAAGCTTGCATGATTCTTTGTCCATAAATGAGGTAGAAATCTATTCTTCTGCAGGTCATGCCCGAGTTTCTTCTCCCGAATCACCAATTGATCTCCGATTGACTTGAAACTTGCGCCTATGCCTACCTGTACTCACTAGGACCTTAAATGTGACAAAGGAACGCAAACTAGCGTAAAATAGGCCAAAGAAGTGATAATGCAAGCTTAATTGATCAAGAAAAAAGGGGAAAACATGTGCAAATATCGAGTCATCAAAATGGTTGTTTTCTTTGTTTAGACAAATGACATACATCATAATGAATAGTATTAGGTTTGGAAATAAAGGGAATTACAGAACTAAGCAAAGAAAGCCTATCATGACTAGGATGTCCTAGCCTCTAGTGTCACATGTTTAGGTCTTGAGGTTGGAAATTGAAGGTGAAAGCAGCTTGGTGTTGGTGATCAGTGATGGAAGGCTTGGTGAAGCCTTAAGGTAAGGCTAGGTGATAGAGTCCTCTAGTTGTATGGGCTAAACCAATCTTCTTCTGGCTTAGTAGGTCCTGAATTTCACATTTGTCAGAATGGAAATGTAAGGAAAAGGGTTAATCATGTGTAATCTTACTAACAGAAATCATATTGAAGGAAAAGTTTGGGACAAAAAGGACATCGTGTAGGGTTAAACCACAAGCTAATTGGTCTGTCCTTACATGTGTGACAACAAATTTCGAGCTATTTGGAAGATAGACAAACGATTCATGTAATAGCTTGTAACTAGATAAGATATTAAGACTACAAGCTATATGTTCATAGGCTCATGTGTCTACAATCCATAAGTGAAGGTTATTGATTTTAGAAGTTGGAGAGGACATGACATGTTAACTTGAAAGTTGGGGAAGGTAGGAGGATGGTAAGTAGCTGATAGGCTTGATGACTTAGAGATGGTGAGGAAGGTGGAGATGGTTGGGTGTTAGCACCAGTCTGCAAGAGGAACCTGAGATAATTCAACTCTTCGGGAGTGAATGCAAAAGAAGATGAACTCTTACGCTCATTAACCACACTCCCTTCTGAAGCACTATCATTTCCACTTCCTTGAGAAATCAAGCAAGCAAACCGTGGTGTACTTGAATAAGAGCTAGAACTGGAGTTTGAACTTGCATTAGTACTCCCTTCCTTCTGCATCTCTTGTTTCCTTTTCAGCTTCCAGCACTCCTCAATGTTATGATTGTTCATCTTGAAAAAATGACATAACTTCTTGCCTCTTGATTCTACATTATCTTTCAAACTGTTGCCACCCACTGCTAAAGCCAAGCTTTGTCCTTTCCTTTTACCACCAGCTGTGTATGCCTTCAGTTTTTGTTCATGTTGATACATGTCGTCTTCTGTAGTTGACACTGATGGAAGTGGTTTTTGCATCAGCAGCTGAGTCTTAATGACTTCATAGTCTGGATTAAGTCCTCTCAAGAAGCGTATAAGATAGTATGTCTCTTGCTTTTGCACAAAAGCAGCAACAGCTGCACAAGGAATTGGGTTTCCATGTGCACAATTACAAGGTGTAATATGACTAAATTCAACATATTCATCCCAGAGTCCTTTGATGCCAGTGTAATACTGAGTAATGGACCTAGATCCCTGCTTATTGGCCTGGATTTAATCCTCTAGATTCACAATCCTCGTGGCAATGGTTTGACCAAAGTGCCTCTTCAATTCGTCCCACAGTGTCTTAGATTTGTTATGATTCAATATAGATATCCAAAGTGCTTTGGTCATGGAGTTTTGGATCCAACACAAGACAACTGTATTACAAGCATCCCATTAACCAAACATATCTGCATCTCTAGGAGGCACTAGTATCGACCCATCTATAAACCCAACCTTGTTCTTCATTTTCAAGACTACTTGCATAAATCTACTCCACATTAGATAGTTGGTTCCATCAAA